GAGACTGAGAGAACCATAGTTTCCTGATGTTGCTTGTAGATGTTCCCTTAACCAACATTGAAATTGTTCAAGGGATACTTGGATCCAACAGAAGGCATGAAGTGACACATTTCAACATAATCCTGGCCCTTTTTGAAAATAGGGGAATCAATGGCTGCAACCCGAATGGGACATTTACGTCCAAAAAACATAAACATTAGGTTTCACAAACAGACATGGGATGACTGAGCTAACAAATAATGCGGGCTCGACAAGATGCAACCTGGGAATTGACTTGATTAATGTGGGGCGTCACCCATACTACCGGGTATTCAGCCATTGCATCTCAAAGACTCATCCATCATTGTGTATATATATATATATATGTAAATATATATACATATATATGAACCCAACCAAAAAAAACGCGAACTATGGACAGCATGGCATCGTTTGTGATTCAAAAATACACCCCAAAAAAATACATGCCAACCGACAAACCCGAATGCAGGTCGCGTAAAGAGACACCTATATAAATAGAAGGGACTTGGACAGTCACAAGAATCTAATAATCAAAGCAGCTGACGTCCCACAATCTTTTCTGCACATGTCTTCGCGCACTGTCTTTTGTTGCCCTTGCTGTGGGACCACGCCATTTCTGCAAGGCTGTAGCTTATGTATTGGCAGGGGAAGCAGCGCGCAAAAGACACAACTGGAGCCGATCGTTGGAAAGCGAGGCAAGCAGTTCCTGTCGAAGGACATGTCAGCGGTTTTGATGCTGATTTGTTGAAGCACCCCTTGACGGACAGGCAGGGCAGCAATCGGCATAGACCGCCTCGAAACCACAGAAAAAAAATATCATGTGCACCGCCATCAGTTGAGATGTAGCCCTGACAGCACCAGACAAAATAACGGCGAAAGGTTCTGCGAAAAGAGAGGCAACCAAAATTGGGGGCCACAAAGGCTTTTTGTAGCTCGCTAGGCAATCTACCTCCCTCCATCTCCACAACATCAACACTAGGGGGTATTTCGGGGTCAGCACATCCACAGGCCGAGGTCTTCGTACTTCTGTTTCTGTACCTATGCGCTGGGTTTTTTTCGGGATTTGCTTCCGAATCTGGGGTGATAAAAAGGACCCTTTCCATCAACTCTAGCTTTACCTACCAGCAAACCGGCAAGCATGTTACGGGCTCTCAGAATTTTTTTGCGGCACATTCTTCTGAAGCCGCTAAAGCTATGTTATGGGACCGCGCTGAGTTTTAGCCTTGAGCCATAAACCTCGATGGGCCAATAAAGAGCTCACTGGGGGCCAAGTGCACTGAACAAAAAGGCTTCAAAAATTAGCTGCGCACAAAAAGGCCCTGGTAATTGATTTAGAAAAACAAACCGCCGCAAACAGGCGGCAAAACTTTTCACAAAAATGGCAACTCATTTGGTGTCATGAGATGTGCCCCAATGGGCCGCACACCTGCCTGTATGTTGATAATAACTATGTCGCAAACGCCGACAATGACAAAAGAAGGTGTTAAAAGGGCAACAGGGGAAACTGGGGCAACAAACAAGCATCGGCAAGCATATGCATGTCCCCAGGATTATCTACAAGGAAGCGATCTATACATGTATATATATATATATTTATTTATATATACATACATATTATATATATATATACAATTTATGTACGTATGTATATATAACACACATAGATTCAAAATCATCAAAAACACTCCAAAGTCACCAAACATTCTCAAAAAACATATTTAAAAACCATTAGAACTTATCGAAAAAACGAAGTTCTTGAGGCTCCCGACACCAGGTGCAAGCTCCCAGCAGACGTCAAGCCCTCGCCCTTCACCTGGACCTTCATCTCGCCAGAGGCTGAGGAGCTGTGATAAAACCTCGGCAAAGCATTTTGCATGGCATCGACTGTCGGGTTTTGACTGGGAATTTTCATGGGAAGATCATAGGGGTATGAGATGAAAATGGAATATCATGGGAATAGAATATGGCTATTGGTCAAAACCCTGGCACCTAGTGAACCCCAAAATAGCTGGTAAATGGATGTTCATCCCATTAGAATTGATAATAATAGGTTTTGACCCACCCCCATATCATGAAATGTTACACTCCTCTGAATTAACATAGACCCTGTCATGAGTTGTGGGTGGAAAATTCGTTTCCACTGAAAATATCTAAAAAGTATCTATGTTCTTCTATTTTCAGGGTTTATGCTAATTTGAAGGATATGGAATCAACCAGGGTATGAGAATAGTGGAACATCATGGGTTTTTTTTCGGTGAACATGGAAGATAAAAAAAGGGAAAGGAATGGAATATGCTGGAATTGTATGGAGTTTATTTTCTGGTTGTCATAGTTGTCATATATGAAATCAAACATTTCAATCGGAATATCATGGGAAATGTAACGGGAAACCAGGGTTAACTAACCCTTAAGACACACTTAAAGAACGGGATTATTTCAGTAGGACTTGGCAACTTGGACCAGGTCTCCAGTTGTTATTCCTGTTATTGCGATTATAATATGACATAGTTTTATTATTACGATTATTGATATTATAATCATGATCACTAATATTTATTTTTATTGTTGTTATTATTATTAACATAATTAGTATTATATATATATGTATTATATATATATATGTATTATATATATATATATTATATATATATGTATTATTTATATATATATGTATTATATATATATATGTATTATATATATATATCGTGCCTGGGACCAAGGACGAGTGGCCAAAGACATCCAGAGAAGCCGTTGTTGTGAAGCTCTTAGAAACGGGTATGTCTGAAAATAGGACAGCCCTAAATCCACTGCCTACTATGTGGGGGGGGGGGTTAAAGCACATTTTCAGACAAGCCCATATAATGAGGATATTATCGGGATATAGGACATAGAGACGTCTCTATCGCACCTCAAAAAAAAACATGCAGAGAAGTAACATAGGTTATTTTTTTTGCATGTTAAATTTACCCCACAATATAAAAAAGGTCAAGTTTGTCGGTAAATTTATCCTTTTCTATTTTGGGGGGCTGCTTTTACAAAACTGGGAAGTTTTTTTCAAGTCACCGATGACTGAAAAAATTGGTATTGATGGTACTGATTGATCCATAACATTGATCATGTTCGGTGGTTAACAATCTGAAATTGCTGGTCGACAAGTTGGATCCACATCCAAATTAAAGGGGAAAACATGGGTTGGATCAGCCATTTGGCCTGATTTCTCACATTTCTTCAACACACCTGGGGCTCCAAACGGATTTTCTCCCCAAAGTAAGAGATGTCGTCCCCCAACGGTTGGCGTCTGCACAAATATACCAGCCGCACAAATATCGGATGAATTTGGCCCTTAAATTTTCCCTCGTTTTTTTCTACAGTAAATCAGAAATTTCCCCAACTTTTCTAAAATATTCAGCTGAAACGGTTGGAGAAACCGACTGTTTCAAGCTGTTTTCCAAAAATTCACCCACAGCATCCAGGAATCTGTAAGCCATTCCGGGACTCTGCACGAATACAGTTGAAATCATCAACCACTTATATATATATAATATACAGTAATATCGATTTCTACCATCACGATTTGCTTTTAAACACGATTTTTTGCATGAGTAAAGCAATTCATTGCTGGTGCCACCAAACTGGTAATTCATTGCCCCTTATGTTCATGTATGCTCATTGGTTGAAGCATCAAATTCAAAGCTATAACACTTGCAGTGTCCGACTGTCCAAGTGCATTGATGCAAAATGAGCCTCCGCCCAAATGAGTGGATCGGCATGGGCCTCGATTCACAGATCTTTTCGATTCGGATCGGGTCATCCCCAGTTCGGGATAGACAAAAAATCTCAACAAATGTGGCAAACAAATAGAAATATTCACTATCCCTACAGTAATATCACCATCAATTGCTGGTAACGATGATCCCCCAAATGGATCCATGTTTGGTAATTTTATGATTGGCTTTACCACATTCTTCGTTGAAAGTGATGGTTCAGCACGTGCTGAATCCTGACGTCGGGTCTTAGGATCTCACGCGGGTGCCCAGTCCAACACGAGATCGCAAGACGAGGTCCTGCCAGAGCTAGCCCCTGCCAGTGCCTTCCATCCAGAACCTTCAAAATGTCCATTTTGGATTGTCCAAATATCCTGTGTTCAACAAGGCTTCAATATCCATTTTTGGGTTGGATAAGAACCCCAGAATCCAATGAATTTCCAAAATTGCCATTTTGGGATGTCACCGCAAACCACTCATAGAGCCCAGTTTACTAATAGGGGAGGGGTCCTCAAAATAGTGATCATTATCAGTAAACTGGAAATTGATCAAGACCCTGTTGAAATTCCCATCTATGTATCTATTTATCTAATCTAATCTATTCTTATCTTACCTTAATATATATATATATATAATTATATATATGTGTGTGTGTGTTTCCCATGTTTTTCTGTACCCCTGAAAACAGCATGGTTTTCCCCCCGCCTTCCCTGTGAAAAAATGCCCCGCTCAAAGCCCATTGCCGGGTGCCGAAAAAAAAAAACGAACAAGGCGTCGTCTCCTCGCCCCGTCTCTCCACTGTGGCGTGGGGCTTTGACCTGAGGATACAACTATACCTAGTATAGCTATATTTATCTATTGTTATAGCTATATTTGTGACTATCTATAACTATATATAACCAAGTATATGACTGTGTATAACTATAAAGTATATTTAAAACTGTGTAAAACTCATGTGTATAAGTCGGTGTAGCAAAGTGCTGTCATAATCTACTAGTAGCAACTGGATTTTTAGCAACTGGATTTTGGAGCTCTGTTCAACTGAAGTATGGCAATCGGCAAATGTTAGTCAAGCATGGTCGTATGGTCAAGTTGAGCGTCTGCCTGAACTTGGTAGGTATGTCCAAGTTTGACCCATTCAAAAAAATGAAACTGCTAGATGTGCATGCGCAACAATCTGTTCTAAAACCTCGAAAAGACGCAGCAGGCTCTTCTTTTTGCCTGTGATTCAGATCCTCAGGAGACAACTTTGGCGGCGCTCTTCTCAGCTTGCGATGCCTCAGATGCTGTCGCTTCCAAAATCTCATCTTTCACTTTCTCTTCTTCCTCAAGAATCTCTTGTTCTGTGTCGTTCACTTTCTTCGCTGCTGCCAGGGTCTGGTTCACCTTGACATCATTCTTCAAGAAATTCTTCACCTTCCACTCCACTTGCTTGCTCTGTTCCATGAGGATGCGTTCGGACGTCGTTAAGTTTGCTTGGATGTGTGCAAAATGATTCTTCAACCTTTGAAGTCTCCTGATCAGCACCGTGTTCTCAATCCTTGGATGTGCAAAATTTAGGTGCCCCCAAAAACCTTCTTCCCATCTCTTCCCTGTGGAGGACAGATCCATTTCCCATAGGGGAAAACACTGAAAAAGTAAACCTTAACCCAAAGACATCCAAGATGCATATCCATCTCCGCAGCATGTTTCACGGCCTGGTTCAGTTGCCGCACCACTTTGGCAAACTCCGCCCGCTGCTCCTCACTGAACTCTCCGGTCTTCCCTGGCGGCCCTGGTGGCCCCACGTCCCCCTGGGGCCCTGTCTTCCCCACGTCGCCCTCAGGGCCCGGAGCACCTGGCGGACCCTGAGGTCCCACCGCATCCTCCAACTCCAAGTCCTCCGCCACCGTGTCGTCCCCTGCGGGGCCCGCGGGACCGGGGGGGCCACGGAGACCCATCAAACCAACGTCGCCGGGAGGGCCCTGTTCACCTTGTTGGGTCCACACGGTCTCCACATTTTCTATCTCATTGCTGGCATCTGAGACAGGAATCTGCAAGGTCCTCAACTTCGAAGCAGCAGCTGATTTCAACTCCTCCAAACTGTTGAAATGGGCCACTTCCATCTTGCCCAATTGGGCTTTCACCTCATTGGCCACGGCAGCTGAGACTGCAACAGTCGCAGCCTGCCCAGCATGAGAGACTGATAGCTCCCTCCTGAGCCATTGAGAAGCCTTTGCCTCCTCTGCTGCACCAAACGCATATGAAAGGGAGAAGCATATGAAAGAAGTACGGCACAGAAACTCCATGTCAACTGTACCGAGAAAAGCCTGATTGCACAGCCCCTTGGGGGCCCAAGGACTGGAAATGTTGATGGCGCAGCCCGCCACACTTTGATCCAAAGGGCAGTCACTGAGAGAGATAGAGAGAGAGAGAGAGAAAGAGAGTCACCATCGACATGACACCTGGCACATTTGTTTTAAATCTACTCTCCCTCGTAACAAAGGATTTTCATTGATTTGCTCTTGTTCAAACTTGTGATCATCGTTGACCTGTGATGCGATTTCAACGCGAGAGCACCGGAGTTGAGGACAAGAAACGCAACACGCAGCATGCACTGAGGTCCGCTCGTCATCTTGAAGCAAAGGGTGTCCGGTCGAGTGTCCTCAAGGTTACAACCCCGGCAGCCTGACATGCCCACTGAGATATCATGCCCTCTGGTCATTTGCATGGCATGTTACAATGTTTGGAGAAAAGAAAAAAAAACGCTATAGATGATGACGTTCCGTGATTTTGCCACATATTTCATGTTTGTTCCCTCTGCTAATCAGTGGAGAGTTCCCCACCAATTTTCATCATGTTCCATGACTTTCTGTGGCAAACTGGGATGTTCCATGTTTGTTTCCCCATGCTGTTGCCATTCTTCGCCCATGATTTTTTCCCATATTTTATTCGCTCCTCGTGGTGATCGCCCCCTTGTCGGAAGGTCACTTCATGAGGTTCGACAGCCCCTCTTGGGATATCCACCTGCGACGAAATCGGTCAGGGAAATAGGGAATTGACCCGATCAACTCAGATCTGCATGGCCTTCAAACTTCAAAACTTCGATCCAAATTTCGCCTTTTTTTGTTGAGCCAGGCCATATTACCATATTTTTATGTGTCCACTCCTTGGTCCCGGGCCCGATAGATGCGCGTCTCTTGATTGAAGCCACCAAAATCCTCAGGTTTCAGCAATTCTTCACCATCGGACCCTTCGGATCCCGTTCCCAGTGCGCGAATTCGAATTCAGCCCCATCATCCGGTCCTTCACTCGACGTTCACGGCGGATGCCTTTATGTCCTCCATAGAAGAACCTGCAAATTGTGGGAAAAATGGTGGAAAACTGGAAAACTGGAAAACCTTTGGAAGACTGAGATGAAAATTCAAATTTAACATCTGGAGGATGATTTTGTTAACAAAATACCTGCTAACTTTCCAGCAGGGGGCAGTGCAAAGCGGGAGTTCATGACACATCATGTTCATCCTGCATTCATACGTACCGGGCTCAAAAACATGGTGTATGTATGTGTATATATATATACATATATATATACATATATATACATATGCGATATGGTTGGTATTTATATAAATCCCAATTCATTGATCGATGATCATTCCCCAACATGGGTGTGTACTCCAACTTTTGACCATGGCACGTATGGATATTGAAAAGTGTTGACACATCCCCACATGTGGAGATTTCCTATAAACTATCCCTCACTTTAACCGCTTCTGGGAAAGACCATTCATCATCGTTCACGCCATAGATGTTCATAGCATCCACCAAAAATGCTAGAGCGAAAAAATAAGTTCAAACATGTAAATTCATAGTAAATCATTATGATTCATCCTATAATTAGTTAAAAATTGCCATCATAGAGAGGAAAATTCACTATAAAATCGATTTAAATTACCATTCCCCACGTATACTGATCATTCACCTTCTTCAAAAACGTCCCCTCAATTCGACATGGAACCCGAATGAGGGGATACAGTGAAAAGGGCGGCTGTTTTCTGCCAACTTTTGGACTTCCAGAATGGGAAAATCATCAACCTACATGGTGTATCTTCTGGCAAACCATGTTTGATTACCAGAGGGTAAATTTACGTGGCATCCATTTCTAGTTGTGTCCTCCGGAAGAAGCCAATATTGCACGTGCTTTTTCCCATCTGTTCCCGAAATGGCTAGAAGAAACATGAAGAAGCCAGCTCTCCCTTCTCTCCATGTCGTTGAAACAGCTTCATCTCCATCTCACCCCAGCCACTGAGGCTAGGACTTCTCCAACTTCACCGACATGGCAATGTCCAGGTGCTTCCCCGGCGGTTTCTGCATCTCCTGGTGGAGGCAACTGTGCCGTGGGGAGAATCTTCACCAGGGGGATTATGATTATATAGTATGATGCTTGTTCTCGATATCAATTGATGACAAACATCATCATTGATGATTACTGCATATCAATAAGAATTAATATCATTATTATAATCATGTAATTGATGATTATTATGGTTGTTAAGTGATGATTAAATTATGGTTGTCATTGTTGTGGTCATCCTGATGAGAAAGAAGAGATGACACGGCAAACTTGATGTTTGAAAACAATTCTGGCAGATTCTGCGTGTGAAAATATAGAAGCCTCGGTCGTGTCATGTCATGTAAACTGGAGCTTGGTAGGTTCAATTATGGTGTTATTTGAGTGTTTGAAAAGAGTGGTGTGCCCCTAAATCCAGTGGATTATCATCATGTCCCGTATCAAAAATAACCATTCGGGTGTGCTAAATTCCCCGTGTTCAGGCACAGCCAAATAAATTATATACCTGGACCTTCAAAAGTACAAAAAAAACTGTCCGGTTGGAACTTTGAACGGAAATCTGCGCAAACAGTGCGCAAATCTTGTAGACATGCCACATTGGCACATTTGGATCAAACGTTCGGAAATCAAGTGACGCAAGAACTTTTGGTCATCATTTAGACATGAGTATCAAGATTGCCTGCGGAACTACGTTGAGTGTCAGATCAACAAATTCTAGTCCATGAATTAGAGACACATATTCTGTGTGTCCATATGTTCTGCAACTTTTTGAGACATAAGGACACACAAAATATATTGTTCCTGCTCAGCCGCACCATTCTGCCATGATCCCACCGAGCTGCAACTTTTCCAACGTATGGTAAAAACTGCAGTGTGCTGATCCACAAATGCTCCAAACCACAAACAAAACGTACGCAAAAATACGCAAAAGTACGCAAAAACCAATTGAAAAAAATCTGCACTTGTTGTTTTGAACATGGACATAATTCAACACAATTTCTGTTTTGGTGGGTTTACCAACCAAAGCTTTTAATGCACATCACGCGCAATACAGGGGACAAACAAAGGCTCATATTATACTCTCGACTTGGTGATAAAAGTATGATCAGATTGGGACTCGAAATTACATGCATGTCACAATGCATCAATCATTGCTACCTGTGTGACGCTATGATATGACATGATATGACATTTTTTAAGCCCAAGTTCAGTGGTATGACATGGTGTGGAAAAGCCTGTTCAATTTTGGTATGGAACGTTAGTTTTTGCGGGGAACGGTCGAAACGGCCCAAACGCGCAATAGTCCAAACGTACAAATATTAATGAACTTTTGAAGGTCCAGGTATAATTGTTATCTGGTTACATCATATCATATATCATATCATATATTATATATCATATCATAAAATATATTAAAATATCATATCATATCATGTCATAAAATATCGTATTATATCATATCGTATCATATCTATCCGACCATATTCTAATCACATCAAAATGTCCGATGATATGTCCATTGATTTTCCTCTCTTTTCCCAGCTGCAAACTTCTATTTATGGAAAAATCTACTACATCATTTTTGGGAAAAGCCACTTTTTCTTTCTGATGTTCCGATGTTTCGGTGAAGGGTGAAATCTCCCACCTGCAGCTTCTTCAAGACTTCCGATGCATCGAAGTGCGCCCGGGTCTTGGGCTTAAAGCCATTGATCTGCGAGCGCGGAGATTTTTGGAATGGGAATCTCATGGGAGTTCTTTCACCAACTCGTCATGAAAATATGAATGATGGTAATGTCAACCCCGGATTAATAAACCATGGTTTATTAATTAGGGGGGGTACTCCTTCAATAGTCATAATATGATACTTAAATGGTACCCTCCCAATTAAACAATCTAGGGGTTTATTAATCCAGGCTTGACATTAATCCAGGGATGAACATGAAAAGTCTGAGATTTCTCTTATTTCATACGTGATAAAAATATATGGTTTGTTACCCTATTTAACATAGCTATTGAAAATGGCCCATTTATATAGTTGATTTACCCATTAAAAATGGTGATTTTCCATAGCTATGTTAGTTTACCAGAGGGTACGTGGTTTTATATGATTGAATAGTGAGTGATATTTTTTAGCCGTGACTGGTCCATGATGGTGCTGTACCCTCCGGTATCATCAAACAACGAAGCGAAGCCGGAGTTCTTTGCTTCGCTGGGAAAATCAGCGAATTAAATGGTGGATCTTCCAGCAGCTTGCGCCATGTTTGATTCAAGGATTTTTGTTCATTTGGATTAATTTGGATTAATTTGGATTAATTGTGATGTGCAATTTCGCGAAATATAAACTAGTGATAACTAGTGGTGTATGAATCATGGGCATGTAATACCATGGCAATGAATGTTTGCAGTTCATCCCAGCCTCAAAAGATGCCTTGTCCCTGTCCTTCTCGCGATCGTACCTCGAAAAAAGGGGAAGTAATTTCCATCGAAGAAAGTTAGTAGTGGTTAAGATGTTCTCAATCATTTGAGCCTATGGGTTTAAGAGGGAAATGAACCGCAAATGAGTACTTATTAAGGCATGATAACGATAATCTATAGTATGAATTGCAATAATCTAACACTATTCTGGATTCTGTCGTTCTTACTCACCATGAGCGTAAAATTACACCTACAATCGAAAGTGAATCGTCCCCTAGCGATGGTGACGTTTTGCTGAGGTCCTCATACTGTAATTCACCCAGAATTGGGCACTGTTTCTTTAAGTTTACCACATGAAATACGTTGAAAACATGACAGCCCACACAGGTCATAGCCATGTTGGATCATGTTGGGGGGATTCCGGAAATTGGAAACTCTTAAATCATCCAAACTGTTTTCCTCATCCTTTGTCGCAACTGCGAATGCACGATGCACGGAACCACAGGTGGCTGTGGTAAAGCAGCGAAGTTGAGTTCGGGACTGCCGCCGCGTCGGGTTGTCGCTCAGGGTGAGGTACGCGTTCTTCAGCTCAATGAAAATAGCAGCATACCTCACCAATGTGGCGCCGGCTGGAGCAGCATCAGAAGTCCAAATCATGTCAAGAAAATCAGAGACTGGACACGTTTCACCTCTAAAAAGGGGTGAAACATGGTGAAACATGTACATCGAAAGTAGAAGACATCTTATGATGTTGTGATGGGCAAAGTATCCTGGGGATATCCCTTTCTGAAAGGCTGGTCCAACATCTCCAAAAGTGACAAAGGATGTCCGATGGTAGGTAGTTCCATCATTGGTGATGTTATCATGCCTACCAATAAGTAAGGCAACATAATCAGGGGTGATGGGTAGTAAGGATGGTTAAGCATTAACCCTATCTTTAATTCCAACTAATATTACCCTTAATTGTTGTGGCCCAGCCCTTGTCTGTTGTCCTGTTGTACGGGTCCTTAAGGCCCTACCAGTAGGAGACATTTCAGTCGGTGAGTAAGTGGCTTCGTTCACCCCACTCAATTCAGTACTGTGGCAAATGGCAAACCAGTAAACCCAATGCCAGAAACGTAGCATTGGATGGGTTTTACCACCCAGGGCAAGCAGGCTGATCCAGTTGCAACTGGGATCATGGCTCCCATGAAATCCTGCCACGTGACTCTTCCTTTTGCTCCGCGCCCATACCCGCCGTCTTGTCTGGGTGATAGACCAAGGACAGCTTCTTGTAGGCCTCAGTTCGGAACAGGATGGATCCCGGGGATATATGCTAACCAAAAAGATCGAATTTGATCATTACATCTATACCTTGAGGGTATCGATTTGTGAATCATATAATTGCCACTGTTGTAGTCTGGATGTTACTTTTTTATCTTTTTGGAGGCTGCTTTTAGTCATGTCATTGAGTGCCTCATCATCCTCATCTACTGTGGGATCGCTGCAACCTTCACCGTGATACCTTTCGTTGTTGATTACATGTACCTTCACCGTGTATCACCGTGTACCTTCTCCTCTGTATCGCTTTACCATTCGTCCATCATTCTGTATCCTGATGTATCCTATGTATCCTGCAGGTTTTTTAACATAGAAAAACACCATTAGATCATCTTCCTAAAGAAAAACCATGGGATTTCCTCCATTGCTACCTCCCAAGCGCGGGGGTCTCCAGGTGAAAATCCCAGAAACTTTCTTTACCTCCTCCTGAGTGGCGTATTCATCGATCCCAAGTACCTGCCGGGGCCACTGGGCCATTGGGCCATTGGAGCCGAGCCCGGTCCCCAGGGTCCCCAACCGCCCCAACCCCAACCCCAACCGTCGGAACCGTCGGATCCGTCGCCTTGTAGTAGTTGATGCCTTGTCAAAGGATCAAGCTTTCTGCAAGAAAACATCAGTGCATTTGGCGATTCTTTTCTAGAAAATCTATGAACATGTCAGACATGTCAGGTGAAAGGGTGCTTTGAGATCAAAGATCTCTCTCACCTTGACCTTGCCTCATGAGGTTAGCGACCCTCTTGTAATCAAACATGGCAATGGAGATTCCCCTCATCCATTTCCAGATGAGCTGTTGCCACTAGCAAAAGGGGCTATCCATTGCCAGGTTTGGTTAGAGATCTAGAGAGATCTAGAGACTCTGATTGGCAACCGATAAGATATCCTGTTCTACAAAAATTGGGAATCTGCAGAATCCCAAAAATCCTCAGTTGTTGTCACCCTCTAGCTAGACTCATAGCTATGAGGCACCTCCAAGTACTGCATCAACTGAGTGGCAACACATCCAAGTTGCATCGATCAAACTCATGCGCTTTCGGAGCTCCAAAATCATCATCCTGGCAACAGAACTCTGGCAGGGTATGATTGGGATTCCAACCCCCCACACATCACTGAAAAAATATCCGGCCTTCCCAGATCTCTCACAGAATCTGTTCCAATACAACTGTCCCATATCTTTCCCATGTTTTTTTACGTAGTTTGCCGCCAGAATCACCAGCAATCCCACCATGCCCAAGGGACCGTCGGCTTGAAGGAGGGGTCGGTCTTTTTTCGCCGCTCGTCTCGATCGCAGGTGAAGGTCCAGCACAAATCCTCCCCAGAGCACGTGGGGTTCAGCAGGAGATCATCAGGAAATGAGGAGAAATGTAGAAGATCATAGTTGGAATATGTCGAACATACAGAGCCTATAAAACATAGATAAAATATGGGGATGTAAGTGGAAACTTCCTCTGGGTCAAGAGGACTTCTATGGAATGATGATAAATGAATGAAAATAGTACCCAACAAGCAAGTCTATGCCAGGTCGCTTTGGATTCTCTGCATCCTGAGAGTCACTTAGAGTCCTGCGTCTTCTATGCAATACAATAGGCTTGGGATGGTTTGGGCAATTAAGAACTGTTCATCTGTCTGCCCCAGACCAAGAAAATTGAATGAACAAGAATACTGACTGAATGATAACATGTTCAAACGGCCCGCAATAGAGTGATGAAAGGGGTGTGTTTCCCTTAATATCCTATATATATATATCCAATCACAACTATATAATCTGTGGATATCTATGGTTGTTGTCGCCTTGCGACTCAACCGGCAAAAAAAACACTTGGCCAATTCGGCCTCGGTCTTCCGCACACCCTGCATGAAGGGACTATTCTGGAAGGCCCTCAGTGGCAGTCCAGGCGTTCGCCCTGTTCTGCATCAAAATCCGACCATGGGCCCAATCAACAAATGATGAGACAAAAAAAGTGGGTCAATATGGGTCAATTATTTTTGTGCACAAAAAAAGAGTGAAAAGGCTGGTTTGGGCAAATCATTCACTTCCCTGAGAAAAAAAAAACACCATTTGCATCCATTTCGGCATGACTTCCCCATACTAAAACCATCATCGGTCTGGCGAAGTCGGCCAGGTCCCCATCATTTGCCAATTTCGAGCCTGCGGTCTCTAAATTTTTAATCCATTCCCCCTAATATGAAACCCCAGTATTAGATCTGTACATTTGGGGAACCATAACTCGCGGTACAACTGGTATAACCTTTATGGTCGAGGGAAGGGATTATTGACCCATCTCCATTTCCGAAGCATTTTTCAGCTTCCCGGCTGGTACTGGTCTGCGTTCATCTTGGGCGTGTCTCGCTTCCCTAAACGAGCCAGAGAATCCTGGAACTGGCCGTGGCAATCTTGTGCTCATGACCCACCAAGAGGTCCCAACACCGATCTGAAAAAGCTTGGCCCCTAGAATTTTCAATGGTAGTTCCATTCCATGTTTCATGCTGAAAGAGTTTGGCCCCCCACAGTGGAAATATGCTCATACAATCATCAAAAAATACCCTGTTTGATGGATACATCCCCCATCATCCCCCTTTGTTTATCCATGTATTGAGTCTCTGCCGGTTTCCAACATCTCCTGCTTAAAGCTGAATTGGCCATCGAAGGTAGTGACCGCCATGGCCGCAAAAGGTTACCTTTTAGCAGCCGGGACTGGAAACACCAATGGTGGGACATGATTCCCCCCAATCGCTCCAACATCTTAGATACAAATCAGGGGAATCGCTAGATGAAGAGCTTCAATGGATTGGTGTAAGAGGAAATCTACAGGAGACCATTGTAATTTCCCATTGAATATAGGTTTCCTGGATTTGTTGCCCGCTATTTAACCAATCCATTGAGATGTAAAACTATCATTTTTCCCCAAAAGAATGTGCTTGTCAATTTACCTCAAGTGGCTTGGAGAAGAGAACCCTGCTTAAAAAAATACACCCAAAAGTCATGAATCAGGTTTACAACAAACACCTCTTTTTGGGGCCTAAAGCCAGGTATCTGACCCCCCATGGCTACTTGACCCCCAACTCTCCTGAGATCTGCACCCCCAAAATTGCAAATTCACTGGGCTCAGCTGACTCAGCGGAGTGAAAACTGTGACTGTTCCGTTCGGTGGCACCTTGTTGAGAGGTACCCTCTGGTAATTTAACGTAGCTATTGAAAATCACAATTTTTAATGGGCAAATCCGCTATAAATGGCCATTTTCAATAGCTATGTTAAATTACCAGAGGGTACACATCAACATTCCATGACTGGACACTGGTCCACATCTTGTTTGTAAGCTTTGTTGCCTGATCCTGATTCGTGTTGGGAAAAATGAAGTTCCAAGTCATGTCCCAGGTTTCGTTTTTTTTGTCGTCGCATCCTCTTTTCGCTGTTTTTTTGCTGCGCAGCCCCACAGCTATGGAAAATCGTGGGGCATTCTCACACCCTGGAGCCAGGTAAGGACCAAAAAGTTCGCAGCGGAACGAACACCTTTTCAGCAAAAATGTCATGAACCTTTGTTCATTGATTAAATCATATTAAATCCCTACTATTAGTGATATTCCCGTTATATAATCCCATAACATTTCCATGAGACCCCCATTAGTTGATCAAAAATACCCAGTACAGTACATCCATTGGCCTCCTGTAATCAAAAATGGCCAGCTGGGAAATCTGCAATAAACGATAAATATGGAGGTTTCTAGGTGGGAAAATCGTCCAACTCAACGGTGGGATTTTCCAGCAAAATAAAATCTTTGATTACCAAAAGGTTCATGGAGATACCCCCATGGATCTTAATGGACTATGACAAGCCGCACTAGAAAAAAAAAGACTATACCTTGAACTCATCATCAACCAACAGTCGTGTATGCGAAAGTCATTTCAAGTCCAAAAAATCATCCCAAAAGTAGGATGTCAAGGAAATTCATCTTAAGATATTTTTGCCATACCCAAAAATATGATATCATTATAAATATCCCAAACCACTGGGTCAAAATGCGTCAAACCGCCCAAAGCGGTGGCGGCGGAGGCCACCGAAATGAAGCCGTAGGTCCATTGCCCAACATCAAACCTGGAAGCTTTACGGAGAGCTCACCCATTGGGTGCCTATAGATGGAACCAACCATATGGCAGTGTGTCAAAACCAATAGTACCCCTTCTGTTCACATCAAAATAGCTGGGATTTATGGATGTTCATCCCCCTAAAAATGGTATTTTCATAGGTATTGATCCATACCCATATCCCAAAAAGCAGAAACGAAAAAACACCTTGATGGGGAAAGCCTGGTGCCTGTTTTGGGCACTTTCCAAAGTGCCCACTGGGAATTGTGGTTGCTGGAAAGTGTCCCATAAATTGGAGTAGGATTTTTCCCCGACAGCAAAACTTTGCTATGGGGTCCTTAGCGCTTAATTTTTATGGGATAAACATTTTTTTGGCAAAAACGCAGAAACTTTCAAGCTGTTGGGGATAGCACCTGAGTTCATTTTTGTGTGTAAGAATTGCAAAGTGACACAACAATGGGCTACTAGGCCGAAGTAACCTGAAACAATAGGCAACTACGGTTTTCCAGGTATTTGGTTGGAGGTATTTGGTTGGCATATGAAATACAATGGCATTCTTTTACAGGGAACCACAGCATCAAAAAAACAGTTCCATCTCGTCACAGTTGATGCTGGGTTCCTGGCTCTCGTATGTATCTTGCATCCAATACCGTCTTTTTGATCGCCATAGAGCCTGATCTCCCAGTCTTGATCGAGGAAGGGTACCAGATCGAGGAAGAAAATCATGGCAACAAAAACAAAATGGGTGAGATGACGTCAATTTTTTTGGGATCCCTAAACTCTACGGCCTCCAGGTGTCCAGTGTCCAAAAAAAAAGCATGACGTCGCCAGATCTTAGTCCACCCCCTACTTCCAGTGACCCTGACCCTCACGATGGTTTCTCTGCTTGCTGGTGGCTCGCCACCCTGAAATATGAAAGTTGTTGAGGATCATCAATCATCCCATATTTCTATGCTTGATCATAGACATAAATATATACATAGTAGAAACCAGAAGCTAGCCAACCAGGATTTGATTTTAGTTGGCTGTTGTATAAGTGGCAAAAAGTGAATTAACCAATTGACAATCTATTTATTTTGGGTGGTACAAGTACCATCTTCCAATCAAACATGGCCCCTCGCCAGCCCCTCGCTGCAGGGCATCTGTGTATGTATATATATATATATACATATATATATGTGTGTGTGTACATGTAGATGTATGTGTGTGTATGCATATATATCTATCTACGTCAACCTGAAGCCCTTCACCCAGCACTCCAGCTTAGCACACCACGGCCACATGCAACCCATGTCTACCAAGCGCCCTGCCCCCATTAAACCATGCCATCCAGCAACCCGCCGCCCTGTCAAAAGGAAACCGCCCCATGACGACAAACCACGTCAACCTGAAGCCCTTCCATCTAGCAGTACTCGCCAGCTTAGCACACCACGGCCACCTCCAACTGAAACCCTGCAAGCCTAGCCACACAAAACAAAATATCCAGAAAACACACACACTCCCACAGCACTCCAGGACCATGCCAATCTGAAGCCCTAAGCCCATAGAGAGAATTCGAACCATGCCGACCGTTGGTGCTTGCTTGCTTGGCTTTTTTCAGAACCAGTTCAAAAAAAAACGACCAGTTCAAAACAGACCGTATTGTATGTATGGTAGGTGTGGTAATTATGTTTCATATGTATGGTATGTGTGGTATGGTACGGTCAAAGTTCGTATGGTATGTATGGTATGTATGGCATCATTGGAATGTACGGTAGGTACGGTATATGTTAAACACATGTAGTTTCGTGAGCACACAGGTAATAAATAGGAAGTAGATACATTGCACATATATATATATATATATATGACTATAGGTAGCACGTAGGTACTTTGAGGGAGTGTGTGTGTGTGTGTGTGCTACGTAGGTCGTCTAGAAGGTAGCATGTACCTAGTAAATACGAGGCTGGACCTCAGAAATGCTGCCAATAGCTTGCAAATAGAAGCGAAGGGGGTGCTGGGAAGGGCCACCTGGGGACCCATACCATTGGGGGTGTAGGAACAGGGAACACGAGACCATATATGCGTATGTGTGTGTATATATATATATATAGACAGAGATAGAGAGAGAGAGAGGGGAAAATTCTCGATGAAAATAATGGTGGATTTTCCTGCAAGCCATTGCCTTGTTTGACCAAAGAGTTACCGGATAAACCGAATGGCCAAAAACATTTGACCACCCCTTTGGCTATGGGGTGCCGTAGGGTAAACGATGGAATCCCCTGGTTTTAAGATGAAAATAGCTGGGTGCTTGACAGAGTGCCCAAAAATATTCCCATCATTCCTTGGTTTTGACCTGACAGAAATCCCCACTGCTCTCCGAATCTGGGCCCCCTCTATGGGCCCGGCACTCTTCGTACCACACTTCGCCCACAAATTTGAGCCGACAGCTGCATTTGGGTCCTATTCCAACCATCCCCAAACGGTCCGCTCGGATGTCGGTAACCATTTTTTTGAGTGGTCACTTTTTTTTCAAAAACCCAGGGGACCAGAGATTTTAACCTATTCTATCCTATTGTTAGTATTAACCATCTAATTTTTGCAAAACCCAATTTTGACCCATACCCATATCGGCTTGCCAACATGACTTGGATTTGCTTGAGGAACCCCATTCTATAACAAGATTCTTCCCTAGAGATTCCCAAAGCAGATTTTCCCGTTTGGGGATTAGGTACTCCTGAGATTCCTCCGGAAACGTGATGGGGATTCACCGGGATATTTTCTGGAAAATTCAGTGATCTCTGTTCAAAACTCGGGAACAATAGGGATAATATAATGGGAACATGATGGGATTATTCAATTAGGATACAACCAACAATATTGGGATATGTCTGGTCGGTTGGTAGAAATTCACAGTTCATAGATGACTATGATCCGCAGTAAGCAAGGTTGTATAAAGCGTATTATCCCCTACGTATGATAACTAATCAACTGGTTGTTTGGTCACTGCTAAAATTGGACGGTGAATACTGAATACTGAAAAATAATGATCGTCGTTGAATCCAGTGATGCTCTGGGTCATGTTTTCATGTTTTTTCCCTATGAATACATTCATATCCAGATATCCCATGAATTTGGCGAATTTCAACTCATTGTTTGGCTGGAACTTCCCAAGCACCATGACAAGCAGCAAACTTATACGTGTACTGTATATATATATATATATAAGTATATGTGTGTGTATGTGTGTATGTATATACATATATATATATATGTAATATGATGTGTATATATATATAATAGTATCATATATATATATATTATACATATACGTACTGTATATATTATATATACATAAGTACGATTGGTGCGGGATTTGGGGATCACCAATTTTTGGGGGGCATCCCTATCAGCTGACCTTCAACCCCCCACAGAACTGCTAGGCTTGGGCACTTGGGCATGATCAAAACGCCATTGGCCCATTGCCATTCTCAGTTTCAGCAGGGTAAGTGAACAAACACTGGCCGCCAGGCCCTCTTTTCGCCTCAGCTTGGCCAATTGGCCAAGATCTTGTGCTTTCGGCCACAAGGGCCACAGCAAGTCTGACAAATCTGTACAACGTCGCAGAGCTGGAAGAACTCCGTGGCCATGCCCCAACCGACTCCGCCTTCAGCCGGCCGCGCACCGGCGAGGGCCAATGGCAGACCGAAAGGGACAGGCAGAACACCACCGAAAACTTTTTTCGGAACCCCTGAAAAACTGCGCTGTGTTTTTGAGTGTCTTAGATTGTTGGCCATTTGGGTTCCGCATTCAAATTAAGGGTGGCAAGCTATTCATTGACGTGCATCCCACTGATCTCTAACACTGAGTCTATTGCTCGATGGTGACACGCCGATCATCGCATCGCACAGGCCGCAGATTTGCACCCTGCACTGCGGTAGATGGGCAGAGTCACAGGGCCAAAATGACAGGTGTGAACGGGGTGAACATGGGCATTGAGCTGCGCCTCATCTGCTTTTGACATTATGCCATATTATGCCTGCGTTGACACGTGGGCACAATTTATTGTGCCTTAAAATGTTTATCCACTTGTAGCTAAAGTATGCTAAAGTGCGGTTTCCTCCATGACATCATTGACATCATGATCGCTTAAGTTGCTGGCCACACTCCAAGCGAATGAGAGCTGTCCATCAATCAATGGTGAAACGTCACGGAACAACCCTCGCGCAAGCGATTCCGGTGGACACCGTGGTGTCATTCAGCCCCCGACCTGCCAAGCTTTGATGAATATGGTGATGGGAATGTCAAACTTTCCATGCCAGCATCAATGAATTGCAGGAACCAAGGTTTCCTGCAGAAAATACATACTTAGTAAACGGGGTCAAGCCTCAATAGAAGAAATGACCAATTGCAGCTTGTTGGAGCTTAGTACATCCTTTTGACCTGTGCACTGGAGATGTCACCAGTCAATCCAGAAGATTCCCAGCATCTTTCAGGGCCCCTGGAGGATTGAGTGTCATCCCCGCTCCCAACATGGGAAGAATTTTCCAGGCTATCGCTGCTGTTTTGCATCACCACTTGGACTTGGATGATTTGGGGATTGTGTCCATTGTGTCCCCCAAAAACTTTGAGGAAACGCCCAAGTGATACACAGTGGCGCACGAAACACCAAGGCCCCCACCAGCGAGATAGCGAAAGCGTTTCGAAAAGGTCCCCTGTCATCTCGGAGCCTTGTTCCAAATGACTTCATTGGGAGAAAAAAAAAGTGACAGGAAGTGCGGATGTCCGAAAACTTCGGGCATTGCATACCCGAACATTCTTGAATTTGTAATTTGTGGTTCTGGGATTTTTGAGGTAGACACGAACAAGAGATTTAAATGGGTCCGAATCCTTTACTTGTCCATGGCAAAAAGAAAAAACTTGAAACATGTACACACCTTCATAGCTGCGTACATACCATGCACATCATTCTCATCATTTAAACCAGTGATATATCGACATTCTTGTTTTTTTCAATTTTTCTGCATAGTATCCTGACATGTGTTCCATGAAAAACCTGCGGATTTCCCTTGGCCGACGGGCAGATGCTACACAAGCAGAAGCTGCGATCTGTGAGGGATTCGCCACTTGGAGTTGCCTCGAATCAGACGTGCAATCTTTTCCCAGGGATTCAACAATCATAAGGGATATGATGTGGGATATGATATGACTGATATGATGTGTATATATGTATGTCTATATATATATATATGTATAATATATATATATATATTATATATATTATATTATATTATATTATATTATATTATATTATATTATATTATTATATATATATATTATATTATATTATATTATATTATATTATATTATTATATATATATATTATATTATATTATATTATATATATATATGTATAACTTATATAACCAACTAGACTATACCTGAAAATGCAACTCGCCCTCAGTCTGAAATAGCCATGGCTATTTCAACGGCCATGGAAAATTTTTAGGCACTGTAAATCATCCACTGAACCGTTACCAGAGGCTACAAGTGGTTCACAATTGGTCCACCACGAAAAAAATACAAATCTTGAAGGCAGCCTTTTGAAGCATTTCTTGAAAGTCACCACTACGTGCTTTCAAAAAACCCCAGAATCCAGAAATGATCAGAAATGTGGCTCATTTGGCTCTGAAAATTATGGGGAAAACCGGAAAACCCCTGCACTTGGTCTGGTTTGAAACCTCAAATTTCCCCGTGAGATGTACGCCATGCATTGGGGGGGAAATCCTCCATTTTCAGGTACGCCCAAAAATCAGATTTTCTTGTCATTTACATCGACATAGACATAGACATAGACATAATTGACATATACATTTGCATATGCATACATGTTTATTTACATTTACATATATAAATATAACTATATATATATATACAATCATATAATATCATATACACATACCCATGAGATTCCAAAAAACACTAAATGTTTAAAGTTTTATACCATATGGTCATATTTCAGATACCCCAGACCGATCTTTCGCGGCTGGGATCGCGGCTCGAGCCATTCTGAGAATTCCAGCACGGAGTCTCGCTGACCCCCCAGGAAGTCAGGCCTGGTTTTTTCGGAAGGAGTCATAAAAAATTGCAAATTGTCATATTATGTCATATTCATCCCAGGATTCTTAGATTTAACCATGGTTTTTCACATCATGGTTAATTGACATATGTCATGGTTAAAAATCATGGTTAGATTTCTGAAGTGGATGTCATTGAACCATGATTTAAAAAGATGTGGATCTAATCCGCTAGTTTTTTCAGTGATCTAAAATGTGGACGATCCAAAAGGATTGGACGATTCAGTTGGAACCTTAGGCTCCAAAAGTGGCTGCGAGAATCTACAAAAATTAAGATGCCAAAAAAAAGCGTGCATATCCCCAGGTGGTGCTGAAGAATTTCTGGGGAAACTGGGAAACGGGGCGTCTCATCCCAGGGCTCTAGCAGGGTCTCTTTGCCCAAAGCTTCCAAGGCTGCTTCTGGTCCACCACGATTGACCCGTGACCTGCCACACCAGTGGAGTGGCTTCGGCGTAACTTGCCGTGTTTTGGCGTGCGTTCTGCATCTGATTTTTTTAATAGCTCACCAGCTTCTAAGTTTTCATACACTTGGAGTTTAAACCAAGCACATGCCAGCAAAATTGAGGATTTCACCAACAAATACCATCAAAACAGGAGTGGCAAAAAAATGACAGAGGGACTGGTGAACTGGTGTTTCGTACAAGACGACTCGTCCCAAAAATGTGCAGCTATGCACGTGTGTATCACTATGACACTATGAGGCATTTGTTGCAAGCCAGCAGAAAGGAAAAAAATCTACAGCTACGTGTCAATATCATTGTCAAAGCAAATTGTGTACAGACATTGCTATTGTTGTTATTTGAATCTACTGGTCTATAGGTCTGTAGATGCAGCAATGTAACATTGTATGTCTCTTGGATACTAATCCCGGACCCCCCCGAAAAGAGGCGAATTTAATGAATAGTTCCAATACTAAGTGTCTTTCTTTGTGGGGCGATGTATAAAAACTAATCACAGGAAACTCTTCACAAAAATTCTTCCCTGGCTGAAGAGGGCTGATCCATACCGAAAACCTTTTTGGTGTTTACCCTGAAATCTCGGGTTTTCCCATGGTTTTCCTGTAGAACCCATCCAATTCAGACGGAATCATAGCTACCACCAGCCACGACCAGTTGAGCATCCTATGGTTTCAGTGTTTAGTGCTGAGCATCCCAGATTTCTTCACGGTGAATTCTATGTTTTTATGATGGTAGATATGTCTAACTAGTTCTATGTTATTCTTATCAGCATTATCATTGTTATTATCATTGTCATCATTATCAGTACTATTATCATTATTGTTAGATTATATAAATATATATACTATACACATATATACTATATATATACTGCATATATAATGGGGTGAAACTCAACCGACATTCACATTAAACCCGGGGGACCCACCGACTGCCAGGATATAAGAGGCGCTTGTTTTGTGCACCCCAGAATCACCGTGTCTTGTGGTAAACCTAATTATAAACAATGCGTATACCTGATAAAGCTTTATGGTCAGTCATAACCACTGATAACCATTGGATAACCATTGAACAACTATTCATAACCATTGATAAACTATAACCATTGAATAACCATTGAATAACCAGTTGGTTCACCCCCGAATCCCCCAGCAGCTTCGGGTCGGCCCGCCTCATCTTGGAACTGAGCTTGGACAAGGCCAAGCCCACCGAAAAGTGCGCCAGCCGAGCCTCGCAAAATCTCCGGTTTTCTATAGGGAAATCATCTAGAAATGGTTGAATAAGTGGGCCATTTTCATCCATTTTCCACATGTATGATGATAGATACTTTGGTTGGGTATGAACGGTATGGATCAAAATTGTTGCTATCCCTGATGTTATTTTTATTCGGTAATACCTGGTAATGCCTGTTAATATACTTTATGTGAGGTGTTGAAGCCATATTTTTTGGTGGTCTTTAAATTCTAGCACATACGGAATTGTCTGAAATTATGGCACCAAAAAAAATATAACGCCAAAAAAAAATGTTAAAGAACATCATGTCTGTGTCATTCCGTTATACTGGTTAGTTATACAGAGAATGGATGATGATCATCCGCAATATATTGGACACCCTCCACAATCAACAACCATAACAATGGTTTTGAACACTGCGAAAAAATTGGGCTAAAGCCCCCAGCAACTGTGAAAAAACATGGTCAAAACATGGCTTAAAAATTATTTATGGTCATCTAATGTCATCTATCCCATATTAGTCCAGAAGAATTGGTAGATAGATCATCCATATCAATATGGGATATATATATATGGATATATGACCATAAACAATTTTTCCAAGATATCATATTATATTATGGTAGATATATTGCTAGAGTCCTATCAACGGATTGATGATCATCCCCCCGATCTCTTGGAATAGTCGCCACAGATTCCACCAAGATCTTGGTCCATTTTTTCATGCGAAAATCAGACGAAAACCATCCATTTTTGGCACACATGGACCATGAAATACCGGTTGGTCGATAGCTGTTCCTACCACAGGCGAAAAAAAAAAAT